GCATACAGTACACATACTGTATCCTATGCTATAACACACATGGGTCAAATCCTACCCAAAACCTATTTTCCCAAGGGGTCTCTCTGAGACCCAGATGTGGCTCTTAAGACTCCAGGACCTTGTACTTGCCCAGCAGGCCCACACTGTCCTTACCTGCCTTCACTGGTAAGTGGCTGGTCACAGCTTGACTGCTGGCAGCCAAACCGTGCATTTACACATACCAAAGCAGCTACAGTCATTACTATGGAAACTCTTGGGTTTTCTATAAACATGCATTTCATGTACACATAGATACATTTTACATCTTAATTCTGAGATATAACTTTAAGTTTTAATTACAAGCATTTTTAAATATTCATAATTATGTAAAGTGTACCTACCCACCAAGCGGTTTCAATAATTATCAACAGATTGCCGTATGGTATTTTCTTAAAAGAGTGGCAAGTTTTTAACTGAACCATAGTATCAATCAGACTTGTAGACAGTGAGTGTACGAGACAGCCTCAAACACAGCCATACATCGTGACCTACATCTACCTGGGCCAGCATGAAAGGCTCACTCCCAGGGAACAACACCCAACAGACACATGAGAGCAAAGGAAGGCTGAGGTTTGCCAGAATGCGGGTGGCAGGCTGAGGGAAGGGTGGAAGGAGAAGATCAAGGACGACTGTCATCATCTACACCACTGAGATATAAGGATTTTAGTATTTTTAAAGGAGGAGGAGGAGAAGGAAGAACAGAAGCAGCAGCAACAAAACAGAGACAGTAACAGGATGTCCCCACTGTCCAGACCCCTCTACCTAACCTTTTTTGGGAACATGTGAACAGGCACTCATGGCAAAGAAAGGAGCCAAACCCTGAAAGCAAAGGCTTCTGCCTAGGGCAAGCTGGAGGTTAGCTTCTCTTTGTGAGACAGCAAACTCACCCTTCAAGAGAGTCTGTCAGGAGTCACAGCTTCCCTTCCAAATATTTCTACTAATGATCTACAAATCTACTTACCTGTCCAAGCCGTGAGAAAAATCTGTACACCACTGAGGGCTTCCCATGGACAGAGTCTCCAACACTGTCTCCTTCAGACATTCTGTAACTGAGATAAACACAAAATACTTTTAAAATAAATAAAAAGTATTCAGGGATATGAAAATGTTCCCCTCTACTGACAGTCTTGTCAAGAACTTTTTAAGACTTGACATTTCATCCAAAGCATTTCTTTAGGTTTTCACCAAACACACAGTCTTCTCCATGTTCTGCCCTGGACCTATACTCCCAGGGCCAGGTCCTCTCCCAATCAACAGGACTAGCAAGCAGTCCATCTATCCGTGTCCCTGTTTCTTATCTGGCAACTGAAGGCAACCCTATCTGCCTCTGGCCATTTCAAATGCTGCTGGGATCCCAGGCAGAATTCATTGTAAAACCCAGACAGCCAAGAAAACCATCACTACCATTGATTTCACAGAGGACAGACCTCCAGCAGCCCTAGGCCTAGGCAGGCCCAGCTTGATATCCAGCTCTTCAGATACAGACTCAGGGAAACGGCTAAGTGATGGGGCCTCTGTCATCAGTCCTGCTTGAAAAGCAGGAGGAAAAATCTTGTGCTCCTGGTCCTCTCAAATCTATGAGTAGCACCTGTCTCAGGTTCCTCTGCTACCTACAGGGTGAAGAGGAGAAACAAGCTGTAGCTCAAGTATGACTTAAATCTACCTGTGCTGAGCAGCTGAGAGGCCTTCAATACCCTCTCTAGCTTCAGTCAGCCTCAGGTTCACCGTGTACAAAATGATGCCCTTCTAAAGACTGGACACACAGGAAGACTTCAATCTGCAGCCAAGTCCTGAGCTTGGTCTTAATGCTCCCAAAGTAGGTAAGAAACCAGGCTCACAAATGCTACGGTAGGGCAGCAGGACGAGAAGTCTAACACTTCCAGCCTATCCTATGTCAACCCTGCGGGAGTCCTTTGGAACCAGATGTCAGAGGCCACATAATGTGACAGCCTTCTCAGCAGCCCCACAGGCCACAGTCTCAAGTCTGCAGTAAGAGTTGTGAGTGTGCTGCCACTTCCCGAACCCGAGTTCAGTGCTCAGAGCTGCCCAGGAGACTGAGAACGCCCTTTGGTCTCAGGTGTGTGCAGAAATGAAATGCACACAATGTAACTGAAGGACCTAGTTGTGGTTCTCCCTTTCTGGGGATTCCACATTTAAATAGAGGCCACACTAGAAAGTACTACCTAGAATGGCCATTCCATGTAAGCCAAAGCCCAGCTTATAGAAAGCTGTGTTAGTCATATTCTTCACCCTATAGTATACGAAAATGTTCCCTTACAGTGTTTACCCCGAAAACACTTTTGCTTAAACTGAGACAAGAGTAATATTAAAAAGAAAACACTAGGTCTGGTGGCGCACACCTTTAATCCCAGTTTAGGAGGCAGAGGCGGGTGAGCTGAGGTCATTTTAAAGAAAAAAAGACAGAGCTACTCCTTAGTGAGCTGAGGTCATTTTAAAGGAAAAAAAAGACAGAACTACTCCTTTAAAATGTGTACTCTAAACTGAGCTAACTACTTAAAATTCTGGTTCAGATGATGTGTAGAAAACCTACCAAAAACACATTAGTCAAGTTTTGATTATCAGACAAACATTGCTCTACATCTTGATTAAACTCACTGCCAATAACAACCTGAGAGAGGTGGCACAGCGAGATTAAGAATGTGAACTTTGGAGTCCCACTGCCTGCTTCAAATCCCAGCACTGCACTTCCTAGAGGTGCGACCTGGGACAGCTACTGAAGAATGCCTTGGGCTTGGACCTGGAAAATGGGATGAGCACTTCACTGCCTCCTCAAAGGGTTCTTATGAGGATCTCCTGGCAGCCTGTGGTGAAGCAAGTGCCAGCCTTCAGTGTTTCAGACTTGTTCCTGGATTAGGGCAGCCCTCATACCAGCTGTTCTAGCTGCAATCCTCTTCTCTTCTCTCCACTCAGACTAAAGGTCAGGGAGGCCCTCCATGCTGTCCAAAATGACCACCATTTCCATGTCACATCACTGATACTACTTCCTGCAGCAACTGTTTTCCAATCCCTTTCTAGTAATCTCTCAATTTCCTCTGACCAGATTGCAAGCTCCTTCTTGAGGGATCTGGTTTGGTTTTAGGATGGGCCTGACAACCTACAAGTGCTTGTCACATACCTACTGAAACTGCTCTATGTTCTGTCACAAAAAAAAAAAAAAAAGCAAGATAACTGTCCTAAGGGGGACACACACAGAACATTCTCCACTTCTTCTGGAGCCCATCATTTGGCTAGTTTCTGCAATCCATCACTCCTAAATTAGGAAACAGCAGAGAGGAGAAAGCTCTCTGCACGGCATCTGAGGGTCACTGCCCTTGGCCAAGGAATAGCACCTGCATGCTTCAAGAGCTGTCCCTTTCTGACCCTTCCAGACCCTGCCCCTCTGAGTCCTTCCCTCTCTGGGCCCCTCCCACCTTTGGGTTGGGGGTGGGGATGATCATCTTGGATCGTCCCCAGCCCTTTCTTAACATTCTACTTCCACCCCAACCAGTTCCCCAACACACATTCTGGATCTAAGGGACAGAGTATGAGTTTACTGATGCTCTTTTGCGCACTTATGAGGGAATTCCACATATTTTGAGTTTAAAAAACTCACGTTTAAAAAAAACAGTTCCAAGACATATAACTAGTCTCTAGTCTTTCCCCCACCGCCCCCCAGACAGGGTTCCTCCATGTAGTAGACCTGACTGTCCTGGAACTCACTCTGTAGACCAGCCTGGCCTCAAACTCACAGCCTCTGCCTCACGTAAAGGCGTGCACCACCACCACCTCCTGGATAGTATCTATTATTAAGAATCAAGAAAGAAAAGCCGGGCTGGTGAGATGGCTCAGCGGTTAAGAGCACTGACTGCTCTTCTAGAGGTCATGAGTTCAAATCCCAGCAACCACATGGTGGCTCACAACCCTCTGCAATGAGATCTGATGCCCTCATATGGGTGTCTGGAGACAGCTACAGTGTACTCACATATAATAAATAAATAAATAAATAATCTAAAAAAATAGTTAAAAAAAAGAAAGAAAGAAAGAAAAGCCACTGGGGGTTCTCAATGTGAAGGGTAGGTAGCCCTCTTGCACTGATACCCTGCTAAGACAGACAATGTAGTCTTATGTGCACGACGCTTGGAGGTACAGCCTGGAAGGCTGAGGATTTTACTGCCTTAATGTCACCATATAATCTAGAACCATTTAACCAGCACCCCTTCAATCCGTTCAGTAATGTCTTCGCACTCAAGCTTAATTTCTACACGTGTGCCCCGAAACCGAAGACGGTAGTGGGATAGCAAGAGGACACCTAACACATGCCACCCGGATCTGTGAGGGCAACAACAGGCCACCTTCTTCCAAAGCCACGACCGGGGAGAGGGGGGCGAGCGAGCCGCGGCCGGGACGGGCAGCGCTCAGCAATCCTCTCGCGTACCCCTCTCGGAGATCGGCCGGCCCCTGGCAACCCCTCGCCAGTCTCAAAAGCGCTGCCTGGCCCCGCCCGCCCGCCCGCGGCCTTGACAGTCCATAAGAAGGCAGCGGTATGCCTCCCGGCCAGGTCCGCGCCACCAGCCCACCCCCAGCACCTCGCAGCTCCGGTGCAGCCGAGCCGCGGTCTCCCTCACGGCTGCGGAAGGAGGATGGCGGGCAGGGCGGCCCCCAGAGCTCGGCTCCGGATCCGGGAAGCTGCACAGGCACTTCCGTTCCGTCCCGCGGCGCCGCCTCCAGCCGCCAAGATGGCCGCGGGGCGGGGCCCAAGCTCCAACCATTTCCGCTTCCGGTATGGACGCCGAGGCCGTTGGCGGGAGTGCTTCCCGGCGGAAGGATGAGGCTGACGGAAATGCGCTGTGGTGCACAGGCGCGTTGGCGTCTTCAGGCTCCGGATCAGACGCCGTTGCTTCGGATGTTGTGGTCTCCTGGCCACGCCCCATGGCAACCGGAGGCCAATAGCGGGCAGCTTCATGGTTGCTAGGGAACCTTTAGCGGCAAGATGGCAGCCGCTGGCGATCCGAACCCGGCTTCGCTCCAGCAGCGCCAGCACTCGCCGAAACTGCCGCCGCGAAACGGTACGGGCTGCGTATCCCTGCTGGAGCTCCGTCTCATTCGCGTGCTCCACAGGCGTGGTCCAGACCGCAGGCTCACAGCCAGTCGGCCCTGCGTTAGGGGGACCGGGGTAGAGCCGAGGTCAGGCTGGGCTGGGTGAGCACACAGGACCTGGGATTGCGGACCCACCCAATGCAGTCTGATGAAAAATTGTCCTAAAACCGGAGAAACAGGGTCGATATGAGGCCAGAGTCCACGCTCGTGACACTGTTTTCCCGTCCCAGGCTGCGACTTGTTAGCAAGGAAGCGGTGGGGTTGCTTTTTCACCTCAGTAACTGAGAGATGGGTGTTGGGCGTGACGTCTCAAGAGCTGCATGACAAAAGATGAGGCTAGCCAGTTCTTAGGAGTAAATGTGGATTTTTGCCCCGTGGGAACAGGAATATGGTGAAGGCCCTGGCTGAGTGGGCTCTTCGATGTCGTGTTTGTTCACTGCTTCCGTGCCCTCACCGCCTCCATTTGAATCCTTCTTCTTAAGAGCTTGCAATCAACTTTTGTCCTAGCTCTCTTCTGGCCAGGCCTGTCTTCTCCGTACTTATCCGTGTAGCAAAACCCAAGGAAGGGAGAGGGAGCATACATCTTGAGCAATTAACCAAGGTGACGCATCCTGTCATGTTAAAGACACTGATGTCAAACCATTACTATGTTCATCTTTTTTTTTTTTCCGTACACAGGCTATGGTGTATACGTATACCCAAATTCTTTCTTCCGCTATGAAGGAGAATGGAAGGGAGGCAAGAAACATGGTAAGAGGCCTGATCATTCCAGAGCCCATTCCAGAGCCAAATTCCCGAGAAGTGTGAGAGGCAGTTAGTCTTGTACTGAGCATAGCCCAGTACTGTGCCTGCACACTGGTACCACTTTCCCCTGTCATGGTAGAACCAATGTGAGACCAATTCTTTTAGGCTTGGAGCCCATCGCATGTGGTGGGTGGTAAAGACTGGGGCAGTGGACCCAGAGCGACACACCCGAACACCATCATGGCGTACTGCATGCTTGTTATTAGATATCCAGGCCTCTAATCTTCAGCCTTAGTGTCTCTGTGTTCCAGAAAAAAAAAATAAACAAAAAATGGTAATCTTCTCTCCATCATGTCTGTGAGCATTCCAGTTTATAGGAAACCACCAGACAAAGGGCAGAAGATATGGAGATTTTGCTGTAAGACACTGGATCTGTTGATGCCTAGAGAAAGACAGCTATGTTCTCAGCAGGCTACCTTCTGTCACCTCTCTCAGCAGCATGGAGGGTCTGCTATATTTTCCCACGTTAGAGTTACATGGAGGGAAACAGCAGGCTTCGTTTCTATTCAGAAAGAAATGACCGACGGTCGGTCATTAGTCCCAGCACTCGGGAGGCAGAGGCAGGCGGATCTTTTGAGTTCAAGAGTTTCAAGACAGCCAGAACTACACAGAGAAACCTTGTCTCAGAAAGCCAAAAATAAGAAAGATAGGAAGAAAGAAGGAAGGGAGGGAGGGAAGGAGGAAAGAAAAGAAGGAAGGAAGGAAGAAAAGAAGGGAGGGAGGAAAAGAAGATAGGAAGAAAGAAGGGCCGGGTAGTGGCGGCACACGCCCTTAATCCCAGCACTTGGGAAGCAGAGGCAGGCAGATTTCTGAGTTCGAGGCCAGCCTGGTCTACAGAGTGAGTTCCAGGACAGCCAGGGTTACACAGAGAAACCCTGTCTCGAAAAACCAAAAAAAAAAAAAAAAAGAAGAAGAAGAAGAAGGAAGGGAGAGAGGAAAGGAAGGAAGAAAGGGACCAGATTTTTAGAAAATCTGAGCAGTAGAGGAAAGAAGTACAAAATGAGCATGCCCTGGAATGCCCCCTGTGCAAACACACATGCACAAACGTATGCACGCACCAGAGAAATACTGAGTGTAGACTTCCTGACTTTTTTCCCCCCATTTGTAGACTCTGCCTTCTCTGTAAGCAAGAAAGCTCATCACACCTGCTATCTACCAGAATCTCCTTCTCATTTTCTTTTATTTATTTCTTTGTTGTTTTCTTGAAACACGATCTTGCTATATAGCCCAGGCTGGCCCTGAACCCACAATCCTTTTGCCTCAGCCTTCCAAGTGCACGACTGCACCCAGTCTCTACCAGCATTGTCTTTATCATTTACTTTTTGTTTTCTTTCGACCCCAGGGCCTGTACGAATGAGGCCAGTGCCCCGCCAGCAGGCTGCGTCCTTAGCACCTTTCAGGTTTTGTTTAGTGTTTTTAATCACACTGATGTTTCTCATTTTTTCACCACCACTAAGGATTATCTGACTGTAAGCAGTCACCATTGTCAGAACTGCTTGAAGAGTCACCCAATTTTAAGAATGTGTCCTCCAGGGGCCAGAAAGATGGCTCAGCTTTTTTTTTTTTTTTTTTTTTTCTGCTCTTGCAGAGGACCAGAGTTGTTCAGTTCCCAGCACCTACATCAGGTAGCTCACAACAGCCCATAACTCCAGGTTATAGACACCATAACACCAGCTTCCAGTCTCCATAGGCACTGTCACGTGTGGGCACACACACACACACACACACACAATGTCCTTTGTCCTCATGTGGACAGAGGACAAACAAGGTCTCATGTGCACAGCTCACGCCTCTGTGGTCATCTCAATGAGAGCTGGCGGTCAGGAATGTGTCGCTTTGTTTATATGAGTTTCCACTGAGTTGCCCAGATTGGCCCAGCCTCCTAAGCAGCTAGCTTACAGACATGTGCCACCATGGCAGCTGAGGTTTTTCACTCTGCAAAGGGAGCCCCACCAACCAGCATGGGTTGGGCTGACTGCACTGTTTCTCTTACCAGGTCATGGGAAACTATTGTTTAAAGATGGAAGTTATTACGAAGGCGAATTTGTGGATGGAGAAATCACTGGGGAAGGCTACCAGCACTGGGCCTGGTCAGGTTAGCATTGGACAGAAGTGGGCTGCTGACTCTGTTCCCATAAACCATCCCAGAGTTTGTGGCCACACAAAGTGCTGTGTGTAAACAGGGAGCTTCAGGCTCCAGTAATGAGAGGATACCAGCATGCAGGCTGGGGCAAGGGAGTGTGAGGCCTACTTCCTGGATGGCCTTTGTGCCCAGGGAAGACCTAGCCTAGTGAAAGGGTGCCCTGGGGCTCCTAGGTAAGGGTTTGCACTCACCTCTATAGACCACTTGGTCTTCTCTGTAACACCTAGTTGAAATAAAGGTTTGTCATCCCAAAGTTACAGTTTTCTTCTACATTAAAGATACTTTAGGGGCTGGAGAGATGGCTCAGTGGTTAAGAACACTGGCTGTTCTTCCAGAGGGCCTGAGTTCAGTTCACAGCAACCATATGGTGGCTCACAATGATCTATACTGGGATCTGGTGCCCTCTTCTGGCATGCAGGTGTACATGCAGATAGAGCACTCATACATAAAATAAACAAATCTTTTTTTTTTTTAAAGATATTTTAGACCATAGGTGGTCACGCGAGTGCCTTTAATGCCAGCACTTAAACAAAGATATTTCAGTCATACCGCATCCCTGGATGGGCAGACTGCTCCGTGGCTTCCATGCCAGTGGCCAGGGATACTTCCTGGAGTTTTAGGCTTCACAGTTAGTGGGTTGTTAGCACTCGGGGGAGTTTTTCTCTTGGGTGTGGTATTCAGTTGTTTTTTAAAAGCCGGGAAAGTCCTTCGCTATATACCACCAGTGCCCCAGGCAAGGGCTTCCTAGGCAGTCTGCCATTGCAGCAGCCAGGGTATGGACACAGGTCCAAAGCATGTTCTCTTCCTCACTGTCCACACCAAAGAGTAAGGTAAAAAGACAGACACCTCGAAAAACCAAAAAAAAAAAAAAAAAAAGACAGACACCAGCCAAGTGTAGTAGCATACACCTCTGACCCCAGCACTCAGAAGACAAAGGAAGACTGATCTCTGTGATTCTGAGGCCAGCCTAGTCTACACAGAGACAGAGACAGAGACCTCCATTTGAAAATACCTCAGGCCACAAGCCTGTAGTCCTAACGTTTGAAATGCACAAGCAGGCGGATCTCTAAATTTGAGACCACCTCGTTCTACAGCTCGAGATTCATGACATCCAGAATTACACAGAGAAACCCTGTCTCAGAAAAACTAGAAAAAAAGAAAAGAAAAGGAAAAAGGGAGAAGAAAATGAAAATGGTGTTATCTCCACCGCCATTGGCTGAGACACAGCAGAGAACTGGAAAGCAGCCTGATTCTCCCCTCATATCTATCCCAGGAAACACCTACTCTGGACAGTTTGTTTTAGGCGAGCCTCAAGGACACGGCATCATGAAGTACAAAGCCGGAGGTCACTACGAAGGGGAGCTCTCCCAAGGCCTGAGGGAAGGTCTGGTACCCAGGGGCTTGTGGGGACTGTGTGTGCTTTGGTGGTAGAACTACTTAACCTAGCCTGTCTGACTTTGGAGGCTGGAAAGGGACAGGAATTGGTACCCCTTTTTTTGTCCATAGCGCAGATGAGCCCATCAGAACCTATATACAGAGAGCAAGCTGCCTACCATGACCTGGGACATGTGTCCTGCCCATATCTGCTATCTGTACTATCCACCACTTACAGATTAAAATAGCATACAATTCTTTGATGATAAGCATGGATCCTACAGGTCGGCCTGAGGCAGGTCTGCAGTTTCAGAGTGAGTCATTTCTGCTGCTGCTGCAGACATGTTTTGACCAGATCCACTCTCCCAAGATCCCAGTGACACTGGACTATCAGGCCCTAAGGCCTGAGTCAGTCATCTCCTGTATGGCCTGCAGGCCAAAGAGGATAAGGGTTTGATTGAAGGGATACCTGTCCCTTTGGACACTGGGAAAGGCTAACTAATGCTGTAAATGAGACTAGCAGATTGTAGTGTATATGAATGCAGCGGGAACTTCCCTTTCTTTCTCCAGGTTTACTTGACCTGGGGAACAGAAATACCCTTGAGTTTCTGAATTGTCTAGAAGCTGAGGGTATCTGCAGCTCAGCAAGGCCCCATCTTCATTCACATTTCCCTGGCCTTTCAGGTTGACAAGCCTTGCAGGGGAACTCAGACACAGAGCACTGCTGTGCTTACTGTATACAGAGTAATTCTGAGACAGAAACATTCAAGTGAACTCTAAGCCTCCCTCCGTGCTGTCCACCCAAACCCAGTGGTTGTGGAGGGCCTTCTGTGTAGCCCCATTAGAACCTGTGTTAGCTAGTCTAGGTCAATTTTACCGGCCCTGCTGACCTGGGCAGTGGCAGCTATCTGTCCCTAAATACATCTGCCATTCTTGTTTGAACAGGACTAATCAGCAGACCTAGGAGGCCAGCAGGGTCCTGGTACTCAGCTTTCTAAATCCGCCTTCCTGCCAGAGTTAAATGCAGGCAGTTCTCCTCCAGGAGGCTAAGGGAAGAGAGAGGAGGGGTCATCGCTAGCAGGAGGTGTAGAGTCAAGTTGGTGTATTTTGGTTCCTTCACTAGGGCAGGGGTTTCTGGAGGACCGGGATGGGCAGGTGTACCAGGGTTCCTTCCATGACAACAAGAGACATGGCCGTGGGCAGATGATCTTTAAGTGAGTACGGACGGGTCTTGGAGGTGTAAGCTGCTACTTGGGAACGAGAGTGGTCCCCCTGCCTCAGAGAATGCCAGTGGCCATAGGAGTCTGGGTGGGTAGATTTTGTGGAAAGCACTGACTAGTACCCAAGCCTTAACTATGTTCTGAGCCTTTGCTGCTTTTCTCTGTATATATGTTTGTCACTGTATGTGTGTCTATCTCTGCCTCTTCCCTCACTTGTTGAATCCAGGACCTAGCACCCAAGAATGGACCCCAAGGACCTGGGTTTGAGCAAGGATACTGGTCAGTAAAGCTGCTGTCTTTCAGGCAGAGGGTTAGAGACCTTAAGCCTGTGTTCAGATTCCTGGGTGGATTATTACCTGGCACCTGCCCTTGAAACAGGCATCTCCTCCTCTCTATCATTTCCCATTTTGAGAAGCAGAAGCCAAACATATCGTGCACAGGGCCCACCTAGCATGCTCTGGAAAATGGGTCCAGCCATGGGGGGTAGGGTAGGGGGCGGGCATGCAGACATGTTCCCTCCTGTCACCAGCCCTCCTGAGCCAGCTCTGGCAAGGCAGGAGCTCACAGACCATCTGTTTAGGGCCTATTTTTGCCTTGGCCCCGGTGTGCTTGCTGTGCCTGGTCAGAGGAGTCAGTCTGAGTCACTCCCACCACCTGGTTCTTAGCCTCATGAGGGTCCTGTGCTGTGCCCTCAGGAATGGTGACAAGTACGAAGGTGACTGGATTCGAGACCAGCGTCAGGGACATGGGGTGCTGTGCTGTGCTGATGGCTCCGCATACAAGGTACAGCGGAAAGGCGGGAGGCGGTTAGAGGACTGGGAGCCTTGATGGTGTTTGCCCACACTTCACCTGGCAATGCCCTGGAGGGAATGGACTCACATTCAACTCCTCACACCCCCACCATCCCCTGCAAGGCTTGTCAACCTAAAAGGCCAGGGAAATGTGAATGAAGATGGGGCCTTGCTGAGCTGCCAATACCCACAGCTTCTAGACAATTCAGAAACTCAAGGGTATTTCTGTTCCCCAGGTCAAGTAAACCTGGAGAAAGAAAGGGAAGTTCCTGCTGCATTCATACACACTACATTCTGCTAGGTCCATTTATACTTATTAAGTCCCCAAATAGAATGAACCCTGTGCCACAACGGGAACCAAGATCTCCTGTCCAAATGCTTGTTCTTGTCCACATGGGAGGTATGAGAAACCGTGGATTTCGTGGGCAAGAGACAAGACTACACCAATGTTCCTAATGATGAGAAATGTGAAGCTATTGGCCAGAAAAACTGGCAAGCTACCAGGAGGACCACAAGAAGAAACAGATTACAGTCTGGGACTGTCCTGGGACAGGGCTGGCCCTGGTTCCACTATCCCTGGGCTGACAGTAGGCCAACTCCTAGCAGGAAGTAAGAGCTTAAGGCCCTGGAATCAGGGCTTCTTGGCCATTCCAGGTGTCACAGGTGAGGCCCTGACGGGGTCCAAGGCTGAACCCCAAGTGTTGCTGCTTGCTATGACGGTGATGTGAGTTCTGCTGGGGGTTTCCAGCAGGAAGGAAGGACAGGATTGGGTCTCTAGACTCCCGAGAGTCAGACTTCCTCTGCTGTTTCTTTCTTGTTGTATCACAGTAACCAGGATAATGTCATAATTTTCCAGATTTCTCAAATGGCAGATTAACTACTGGAAGGGGCTGGCCCCTGGAAGCAGCAAGAGCCCAGCCCGGTTCATGCAGAACTGGAAAGAAGGGTAGCGACAGCTCGACTGGGGGACTCTTGTAGGAAATTCCCCAGGTGCAAGAGTGGTCCCACAGAACTGTAGGCATCACAGAGAACCCAGCACGGGTGCCCAGACCTCTGTACACAGGATGCCCAGACCTGTGTGCAGAACAGAAGAGTTAGGCTTGGATAGATCTCAGCCCATGCCTGAGTACCATTCCTGTCACCAAGAACAGCTTGCAAAGGAAAGGGCTTTTTTCATATTACACTTCCTGGTAAAGGTCCATCACAGGAAAGTCAGGACAGGAACCCAAGGTAGGAACCTGGAGGAAGGAACCGAATCAAAGGCCTTGGGGAAGAACACTATTTACTGGCTTGGTCCCCATGGCTCGCTCGACTTTCTTACAGCACCAGTACCACCAGCCAAGGGGTGACGCTTCCCACACTGAGCTGGGCCCTCCCACATCAGTCAACCAAGAAAATGCCCTACAGACCTGTCTTCAGGCTAATCCTATGGCAGCATTTTCTCAGTTAGGATTTGCTTTCTCGGATGATCCTATGTTGTGTCAATCTGACATGAAAACTAGCCCATAGGACTGCTCTGGTCAGGGATGTTGGGGTCTGTGTGGACACTGCCCCACTACTGGCCTAGAAACTGCCTCTGATCTTTTTTTTTTTTTTTTTTTTGGTTTTTCGAGACAGGGTTTCTCTGCATAGTCCTGGCTGTCCTGGAACTCACTCTGTAGACCAGGCTGGCCTCGAACTCAGAAATCCGCCTGTCTCTGCCTCCCAAGTGCTGGGATTAAAGGCGTGCGCCACCACTGCCCGGCTATTTTTTTTTTTTTTTTTTTTTGGTTTTTTCGAGACAGGGTTTCTCTGTATAGCCCTGGCTGTCCTGGAACTCACTCTGTAGACCAGGCTGGCCGCGAACTCAGAAATCCGCCTGCCTCTGCCTCCCAAGTGCTGGGATTAAAGGCGTGCGCCACCACCGCCCCCTGCCTCTGATCTTTGCATGACACGATCTGCATACCATCTGTATCGACTGTTGTGACCACTCACCAGTCTGGTCCTCCCCATATGGAGGCTCATCCTCAGAGGACCTGCCCTGACAGCATGTCCACAACAGGATCAAATCCAAGGTGCAACTGGACAGTATGAGGTAACAAGTACCTGAAGGAGTCCCTTATTCCCTGCCTGTCCTGCACCCTGACAGAGTCTACCATGACTCTAGCCACACGCCACACAAGTGTCTTGTTTCCAGTGAAGAAGGCCAGGGCTTTCAGTCACCTCCTGCCTGCCAGACACTTCCATAGTCTCCACTCGTGGATTCAGATGAACTATCCCACACCTCTGGGAAGGGACTGTTTGCCACATTTTATAAATGGGAAAACTGAGGCCCAAACATGGTTTCCCAGTCCTGTAAGGGGCAGAAAAGCTTGTAGCTTCAGCACTCAAGCTTGATCCATATACCTGACCCTCTTTTCCTGGGATCTGGGATTTGGGAAAGGCCTTGCCCTACTAGGTCCCTCCAGAACCCATTGCATCAATGGATGAGCTGCCATTGACAGCCCAAAAAGATACCATCGCCACCACCACCACCACCGCTTGGGAAGGAAGAATAATGAAAGGTTTCGTTCAGTTCCCGGAGGGGTTCTGTCCCACATGTCCTCAGACCTCTGGTAGGGCTTCTTCACTGCTGGCCACTAACCATCAGTGGCTAGGGTTTGGGGCTCTGCCCAGGCCTTCCTTTCTGAAACCTGAAATTGGTGGTATGCCTCACTTTCACCTGCCACAGCCTACAGTATGTCCACCAGGGGGCAGTCTAGACCTGCTCACCGGCAGCATGCCCAGCCTTGGGTCCTTGTTCCAAGTTTGGGTGGAAATGCACTGGGCTCTAAGGCAGGCAGCAGGGAGGGAGGCCTTGAATGCCTAAGCAGTGCACACAAGCCTTGAGATTGCCACACAGGCTAAAACTGCTCACGCTGCTGTGGCTTTTCCTCCTGAAGCCAGTACCTTGAATTCCACAAGACTCGCAAAGGTTTCCTCCCTCGGAAGTGGGGCTGGGGATTGTGTATCCTTCAGCTCACTTCTCAACAGCCTGGACCCCAGCAGCCACAGGACAGCAGGAGCAGTATCCAGAGGTGGGGACATACTGGCCTTCAGCTTAGATGTGCAGGCTGCACCAAAAAAACAACAGTGTGAACTGAAGCAACCACGGAGGAATGACGACCAGAGGATGCACATGTGAACAGAAAGGCCACAGTCCTGCCACTTTTTTTTCAATGGCCTTGGGAAAGCTGAAGAACTTTCTTCCAGGATCTTTTGGACACTGAACAGAAAGGGGCACCCAGGGCCAAGAGAACAGTCGTTGCCTTCTGAAAATCAGGACTCGGACACCGCGGATGTCCACAGCTGCCAGCCTGATACAACTCTCACTGACCTGTGCTGTGGAGGCAAGAGGTCTCATTGCCGCCCAAGTGGGGCTGTCACTGAACCCTCATTAGCCAGGGGAGGCAGCACTCTCTAGCACAGCTGATGGCCATCTGCGCTGAGCTCTCCCACACATGGGCCACTACCTGCGTGGCGTGGAGACATCAGTCGAGAGAGGCCATGGGGTGGGAACAGTCATGAGACCTGCTTCCTCCGGGCACCACTGTTCTTTATGTTGCCATTAGTCAAACACAAACTGGAAATGTACCATCTTGTCCAGTTTTAAGTGTCCAGTTTGGTGGCATTAAATGCTTAAATTATCGTGTGGCCATGACCACTGTCTGTCCACAAACTCATCTATGCAAACGGACTCTGGCCCATTCAACTCAAAACTTCATATTCCCCGGAGCCCCTAGCACCTACCTCTCTTGTGTCTTAGTGACTCTGGCTCCTCTGGGGGCCCCCATGGGCGGATGTGCTCCTTAGTGACTGGCTGTTCTCACCGAGCCTCATGGCCTCAAGTCCACGCTCACTGAAACACGTGCAGAAGGCTCCCGGTGGCCAAGTGGCACATATGCATACATGTCCCACTTCCCCTCATCATGCATCTCAGTGGGCACTTGGGCTGTTCCCCCTCTGGGCCACCGGGAACAGTGCTCTGAGCGTACCCGTGCAGGCCTTTGGTTATGGACCCAGCAGTGGAATGGCTACACCATGTAGTAACTGCACTTAATTTTTTGGTGGAGCCACCAGATTTTTTCCACAGTGGCTGCACTATTGAAGGAACCAACAGGGGAGCCAACAGAGGTTTTTATTCCTGCACCCCCCCAACCCACACTTATTTTCTGTTTTTAAAGCTAGCATACTAAGGAATGTGAGCCGCTTGGCAGTGGGCAGCTGATAGCTGAACCCTGTGCGCGGCCGTTGCCGTCATCACACAGCCGGCTCTGGTTCCTGCTTGACATTGCTGCAGCAGCGCTCAGTGTTCTGTCCCTCCCAACTTGTCCTGCCCTGTCGCCTGGGGGTACATGCCTGTTACCACAAGTCAATGCCAGAAATGGGGAAACGTCTCACCTTTTCCTTTTGACCCTCAGGCAGATGAGGTAGCTAGCTGCTGGCTCTCCCGTCCCCAGGTGTCTCTAGAGAGCAACCCTCATCCTCCAGACCCACCAGCATTAGATTCTTACGCCAGGGCCCGTTTAGTTTCCTGAGAAGACTGCAGGGTGGCCAGCCTTTGTGTGGTCAGCTTTGCTTTCCTGATCTTGACCCTAGCATCCATCAGAGTTCCCGCTCAGCCACCCGTAACATCAACCAGTGTTCCCATGTTGTGAGAAGGAAATCCAGACCCTGAGCAGATGTTCTAGGTGAAATCTGCAGCTCCCCAAGGCAGCCGGCATGGCCGGCCTACTGATGTGGTTCCGTCCATGTCTTTGGTGGGCACCTAGAGTGGTACACTGAGCAAGCTGGTGTGGTGGAGGCCTCTCCCACAGCAAGGACATGTCTGCCACCCAAAGCTCTAGTTTCCTGAAAATCAACATTTCCCATGTTGGTTTTTGCAGAGGGCAACCTGCTGTCTGGCACACCTGTGCACACACAAAACAGGTGGCTAGCCTTATGGGTTCCTTCACCTGCTGCAATTCCCAGCTTCCCCCTTAACTGGCATGTCTGGAGAGTCCCTGCATGCCAGCAGGCAGATGAAGACAGGCTGTGTGGCTACCTGCTTCCCACTTGTCTGCCCTCCTTGGGCCAGCAAGGCCCTCAAGCAGGGTGGAAAGGATCTGGACCTAGACATGTCTCTGCCACTGAAGATCACCAGAAGATCGTGGAACAGAGGAGCACTCGTGTCCAGTGCTGGCCCCTCAGCCGGTCAGCTGCTCCCCACAATGGCCCCCTCCAGGAACCGGCTCAGCAATGGTTAGTGCTACACCAGTGCCTGCATCTCCATGTCCCTATGAAATATGCCCACTCCACACCCTGAAATCCTAGGAAGACAGTCAAGACCAATCAAATCCAGCATCCCGCAGGCCTGCTGTCACTGCGATGCAAGCGAAGCTACCTCCCATCCCTGCAAGCCGGCAATCAAGCTCCATAACAGTTTCAACCCCAGGAGGAGAGCCCATATAACCCCTCACAGGTGCCATTACACAGGGGGACCTGAGGGGTCCAAGGCTTAGCCGCAGTTGGTGATAATTGCCTCTTCCATACCATAACACCATGGAGGCCGACTCAGAAAGCGCCTGACATCATGGCAGCCGACTCAGAAGTGGCCTGGGGCTTGTTCACTACAGGAAGGACCAAGCTTTGCAAGAGCAAAGAGGTGAACTTACACTCGGGATGGACTTGCATCCAAACCCACATCTATGGCATGGCCGCCACAGAGCCACTACTAATCCAAGTACAGGGAAGAAAACAGCATGGGTTAGCTGGGGAATGCTTCCCACAATGAGGGGGGCCAAGGCCTTCTCTCCTCCAGCTTGTCACACTTAGTGCACTCACCACCATAAATGTGAGGTCCAGCCATAGCAGAGCAGGGCGGGAATGAGACTGAGCTTCACTATCTGGGGTCACTGTAACAGTCATAGAGCAAATGCTACGCTCTTATCCTGGGTGTCCTTTTCCTGATACTGGCTCCTTGTTTGCTATGTTTGCTTGGTTTGGGGTGCACATCTGATCCCTAAGTGACTCTTCTCTGGCTGGCTATGTCATCATCATCATCTTCATCACCCTCTTCTGTCCTGTGAGACATGTCCGTTCTCCCATGGGTGTCAGGTAGCAGCTGGGCAGAGGAGGAAAGCAGGTATCTCTATGCCCTGGGGCTTTGTGGTAGTAGTGTGGTGCCCTGCTCCACCTCCTTGTGACTGAGACTCCCAAGCTGGTTCCACACTGTGTATTGCCCAGACAGCCCTCAAGTTTCTCTGGAGATTTAGAGTGGGAGGCCCGGGTGGAAGCTAGCAGACCAGGACCTGTCCAGCCGCCTCCTCAGGCTGTTTGACAAGGACACCATGAGAGGGTGTTGTTATCTACAGGACCCTGGCTGACACTCCAGGAGTTAAGATGTTTCAACAATATGTATCACCAAGTATAGAATTTATGATATCATTCAGGCAAGTCCATGGGTTAGTGTGGTGAGTCTCTTGCACATATCTGTGTATCCAAACACTGTTCTGAAGCCAGGAACACAAAGCTCCAGCTCTTAGCATTCGGGCTCTGATTCTAGCATGCAGTCCACTGGCCACCTACCTCAGGGACTCTGGCAGATGTTATGGGTGATGAGTGCAGCTGGCTGGGCTAAGAGGCTCCTGTGGCAGTGCTGCCCGTGGCTCTTCACCCACTGCTGCCCAGGCCAGCAGGCACCCCCACAACACTGCTTATCACTGTCAGTGCCCAGGTCCTCCTTTCTGGTCGCATGCCCTGTCCTGCCCATCTCCCTTCCTCCTTCCTTTCTGAAAACCCACACTGGCACTTTCCAGAAGCCCAAGTGAGCACAGCGAGGAAAGAGAAAAGACAAACTGCTATTCTTTATCCTACAGACTCAGAGCCTGGGACACATTGGAGAGTCCACCAACCAGAGCCGAGGCCCCCCTCCCCCAATATCTGCTCAGAAAGTTCACCACCAGCTGGCTATGTGCTGCTGTCATCCTTGAGAGAGTTGGAACAGAAAAGAAAGAGGCTGGATTCAGGGAGGACAGCAGTCACAGAGGAGGGGGTGAGAATGCTCCTAGGGAGAAGCCAGCAAACTAGAGACTGGCCTGCTAGGTGGAGCACCCATTCTCATCGCAGGGCAAGCCTATGCTAGGAAACAGTCACCTCCCAAGCTTCCGAGCAGGGCTACCAAGGCCTCACTGTAGTCTGGTGTAGCCTGTGATCTCTAGAGCCAGCCTGAGAGCTACCCTCCTAACCAGCTCCATCCACATCTGCAGTGAGAAGAAAAGGCTAAGTGGATAGTCCAGGCACAAGACTGAGGGGTCAAGCAAATGGTAGGGTGGATAGCATCTGCTGGGATGGGAGACTGTCAACTGAGCATGCGCCATCCAGGAATGGAGCTGGCCGTGGGAGTATGGGTCTCCTACACTGAGTTTGGGATTTGAATGCTAGGGGAATGGAGCCATCCCTCGAGGCACCTTGGGGTGCCTTTGGGCGACTTGGCAATTCTCAGGATGAAAACCACTTCATCCCAGAGGGGCTTGTACCTGGGTGAACAAGCATGCCCCTGCCCACGTGCTCCACAGCTGGCTGCTGACCTCTTTGAACAGAGAGGGTTCCCTAGGGCTGCCTCTTGTTTGTGAATGAGCCTTAGAGACTTGAGATTTTCAGGGCCAGCATCTATGAGCACCTACTCGCCTCACTTAGCCAGAGGCCTCTCTTCCCACTCATTTCTTGGGATCCAGCTGTTCACCATGTGGTGGCTGAGCTCTCAGCAGCCCATGAGACGCTTCCTCCCAGGCCGTGGGACTCAACCCACTAGATAGGACTTTGACCTCCTCTCCATCTTTGCAGCCACGGCCCCTCAGCTCTTCTCGACCAGAGCGAACCCACTCTCCTACCTTGTTTGCATTCTCAGAAACTGGCCAGTGTTCCCCTCCCATCATTGACTGTGGGAGCCCAGGCTCCGTGCAGAGCTGAGTCCTGGACAGGGTTGGTTAGCTGGTGCCCAATTAACTTCAGCAGGAGAGTGAACTGAACCAAGGCTGTTGTTGGCTGTTGTTCCCCCCAATACAAGCAATTCATAATCAAATAAAACACCATTTGATCTTGAAGTTTTCTATGGCACCAGCCCTCCCACCATTTCACACAATTGCTTGTGGATCCAGGAGCACTATGGAGGAGGCAGAGCAGGGGAGGGGAGGGGGTGACGAGCAGCACCCCACTCCCACCCCGAGGTGTATGTGTATGCTCAGGTTGTGTATTTTAATTGCCTTTTCATTTTAAAAGCTCTGAGCATCAAAACACCCCACCTCAGTCCTACCCCACTGTAGTCGCAGGTTCAGGTCCCCTCACAATCAGCTAAATGCCACATCTTTGTACTAGGATGCCTTTGTGCAGAGCTTGGTGCTTTGTTCGCACGGTGTGTGCTGTGCCTTTGTTCCCCTCTTTCCTGGCGTCATTAAAATTCAAGGGGAGAACATTCAGCAAAGCGAACTGGACCCTTCCTAACAAAATGCAGTGCCTCACCCCCCAAAGGAAGGTGCAGTAGCTTCATAGCCACAGGAGTTCCTTAACAAAGGGTCCTGGAGCCGCCCTCTGAGAGCACCTCATTCTCCCTGCAGGGACAGTGGCACAGTGATGTCTTCAGTGGGCTCGGCAGCTTGGTCCACTGCTCAGGAGTCACCTACTGTGGAATGTTCATTAATGGCCACCCGGCAGGTGGGTGTCCCCGGCTTCCCCATATCCTCCCACTGTGGGTAGGTTGTGTTTGAACCTGGCCTCACTGTACCTCAGGTGGCCTTGGGCAGCCACATGGGAGGTGTTGGACCAAGCTGGGATGGAGCAGAACACAAAGCCCAGCCCTTTTCGGGGAAAGCGTGTTCTAGTTGATTCCAAAAGGGCCTGTGGTCCTGTAGACATTGGACTGAAGGGGTTCTCCGCAAACAGGGTCTCAGACCTTTGGGCTCTCCCAGCTACAGCACAGGCACCACAACTTCCCCCCAAACACAGTACCTCTCAGCCATAGATACCTCCTAGTCATGGAACCCCTCAGCCACAGCATTCTGGATTTACTGAACAAACTATCCTGATCTGATAACCCCACCCCGCAGCCGCCACAGCTGCCTCTGTGGCCTCTGTGAGGCTCTGTTGAGATCTCTGCACTCAGACATGACTGAAAAGTGATCCATGTCTACCCTGGCTTGGAACGTGCCCAGCCATTCACTGCTCCCCTGCTTTCCTAGCGGCCTCCCCTCACACTTAGGACATCCCAGGGGTGGGCCTAACCAGGGACATGAGTCCTTCAGCTGACCACACTGACTAACAGGTTCCTTGGGGGCTCAGTCCCACCAGTGTCATCTTGGTAGCCCCTCTCACAGGGTGCGAAAGGACTAAGACCCCCAATGGCAGTTGCTACATCCACTAAACCTCATGTTACGCCCCCAGCACAAGCTAAGAAAATTGTGGTTCTGGGTCCAGACGTACTGGAAGTGGTCCAAGGAGCTCCCTTCACATTGGGTGTACAGCTGCAGCAAGATGATGGGGAAGTTGCCAAAGGTAAGTGTCTTTGGGGTGATGACCCTGCTTCTGCAGAAGAGGTGGGCCACAGGCTCTCAGGTAGAGCAGATTGGAAACAGTGGTTGGTTTGCTTCGGAGAAAACTTCACAGAAGTCCCTGCAGCCTGGTGACTTCAAAAGTCTTGGGAGGCAATCTCCTGTGTACATGCACATCCGTGTGTGTGTGTGCACGCGCACGCGCGCGTGTACACATGCGTGCGTTCATATCTTGAGAGGCATGTGCATGTGCACTCATGAACATGTGTTTTGACACATGCAAACCCTCACTCTGTGAGTAGTGTGCCTTGTACAGAGCACAGAAGATAACAAGATGCAGTCAACCAGTGGTGACACACGCCTTTATCATAGCACTCGGGAGCCTGAGGCAGATGGATCTCTGAGTTTGAGGTCAGGCTGGTCTACTGAGTTTGAAGACAGCCAAGACTACACAGAGAAACCCTGTCTCAAACAGACAGACAGACAACTTGAGTGAGCAAGTCAGCTAGACCAACAGCAGTCTCTCACTCCTCTTTGGAACAGTCATTTCTTTTTAGGTAAATGAACCTCATACCAAGACAAGATATGGACCACCAGCTTCCTAAACCCCTGCCCACCATATCAATTTCCAATATTTGTTAATTTGTTCAATGCTTCTGTGAGAGAGTCATAGCATACACATGGACTGGAGAGGTACCTCACGTGTTAATACAGACTGCTCTGCAAAGAACCCAAGTTCAGTTCCAAGTACCCACATCAGATGACTCAGAACCATCTGTAACCTAGCTTGGGGGCAGGGTTGGGGGGGTCTGACCTCTGACCTCTGTCCTCCGGGGGCACTTGTACTCATGTGCACACAGACACACATATGTGTACATAATTAAAAATAAAATCTTTAGCCGGGCGGTGGTGGCACACGCCTTTAATCCCAGCACTTGGGAGGTAGAGGCAGGCGGATCTCTGAGTTCGAGAATTCGAGGCTAGCCTGGTCTACAGAGTGAGTTCCAGGACAGCCAGGGCTACACAGAGAAACCCTGTCTCGAAAAAACCAAAATAAATAAATAAATAAATAAACTTTAATATATGTATTAAGTTGGCTTAGTGACTTTATTAAAGTATCATTTACATACCATTAATCTCAGTATTAAATGATCCCATGATCGCTTTTTTAAAAAATGATGTGTTTGTGTGTAGTTCATGTCTTTGTGTGGTATGTATGCATGCATGCAGGTGCCCACAGAGGCCAGAAGAGACTATCGGGTTCCTTGAAACCCTACAGTGGAGTTCCAGACAGTTATGAACCACCTGGAGTAGGTACCGTGAGCCAAACTCAGGTCCTCTGTGAGAGCAGTATGTGCCCTTAGCCTTTGAGCAGTCTCTCCAGCCCTTCACTTACCTGTTTTCTTGAGACAGGATCTCATTTAGCCCAGCTGGCCTCAAATTCAGTATGCAGCTGAGGTAGCCCTTGAACTGATCCTCCTGTCTCTGCCTCCCTGGAGTTGAGATTACAGTCATGTGCCATTATGTCCACCCAGACCCCATGCATGATCTTTAGTAAATCTGCAGAGATGGGTGGCCACCACCACTTCCCAGTGGCCTCTCAGAACACTTGCAGACCCCTAGAAAGATCCCCTGGTCCTGTTTCCAGCCTTGTATCCCCCTCCCAGTCCCTAACTGACTTCCTACCTCTATATATTTGGCTCTTGAACATTTCGTGCAGGGGGAGTCATATCCCATGTGGGCTTTTGCTTGCTTCCCACTCGCATGACGTCTGGAGTTTCCTCTGCATTGCAGCATATACTGACCCGTCCTCCTCCTGGGTCAGCAGCATCCCGTCACCCAGACAGGCCTCACCCGATTGCCTCCCATCGGGACTGACGCTGGGGACAGTGCTGCTGTGAGTCCTGCTCAGGGCTTTGTGCTCACGGATTCTCGTTTCCCTTGTGTATGTCTGCAAGCAGTGCTGCAGCATCAATGTGGCTAATGTGCTCAAACTCTCAGAGAAGCTACCGGGCCTATGAGGTAGCTCAGCACGGAAAGATGCTGGCTGCCAAAGCTGACAACCAGAGTTCGATCCTCAGGACCCTCATGGAGGAAGTGGGGAACTGACTCCTATAAGTTGTCCTCTGGTTGTATGTCTGTGGTGTGTACGTGTGTGTGTGTGTGTGTGCGCACACACACAATAAATAAATACACAAGTAAATAAATATTGAAAATACATAAAATAAGCTACTGCTTTCCCAAATAGCAGCACCATTTGAAGTCCCCAGCCAACTACACAGTTCTGACTATCCTCCTCCAGACAGTACTCGATGATGGTTTCTTTGGGGCCCTCGCCATGCTGTGTGGGAGCAGTGCTGTTATTTTGTAGTCAAAGCAGGTTTGTTTGTTTGTTTTGTTTCTCTTCAAGACAGGGTTTCGCTGTAGCCCCAGCTGTCCTCGAACTCTTTCTCTGTAAACTAGGCTGGTCTCAAACTCAGAGATCCCCCTGCCTCTGCCTCCCCAGTGCATTAAAGATGCAGCGCCCCTCGGCTCCCCCGCTAGCTTTTCACTGCTTACTAACCAGTCACTTGTACATCTTCCTTAGAAAGAGCCCCATGTCCACCCACTTTTAAAAAGTGGGCTGCTATTTTTTCTTATTTTTGTATTATGAGGGTTATTCATGTGTTCTGGCTACAATTCCTAATCAGCTTAAAAATATTTTTTTCTTTCAGTCAGGTATACTGGTACCTGGTGCACCTTTTAATCCCAGCACTCAGGAGTCAGAGATAAGTGGATCTCTGAGTTCAAGACCAACCTGGTCTACAGAGTGAGTTCAAGGCCAGCCCAGGGATACCTAGAGAGATCTTGTCTACAGAACAAAACAGCCCACAGTACATATTTTCTTCTCTAGTCCAGTTTCTTTTAGTTTCCTTTAAATTTTTTAAGTTTATTTACTTGTTTGTTTATTTGTATAGCTATCTACATGTCTGTATGTGTATCACATGAGTGCCTGATGCCTATAGAGTTCAGAAGAGGGCCTTGAAGCCTCTGGAACTGGAGTCATAAAAGGTTATGAGCTGCCACGTGGGTGCTGGGAACCAAACTCCAGTCCTCTGTAAGAGCAGCACTCCCAACCGCCGGCCTTCTCTGCAGCACATGCTTTTTGTTCATTTTTTAAAAATGTTTTTATGAATCTTAAATGGTAAATTTTGACAAACTTCATCTTGCTGACTGTCCAGTGGGTTATGGTTCAATGAGTCATAGTTCAGTGGGTCATAGTTCAATGGGTCATAGTTCAATGGGTCATAGTTCAATGGGTCATAGTTTGGTTCTATATCTAAGAATTCCCTGCCCAACTGAAGTCCACATAGACCGTTTTCTTGTAGAAGTTTTATGTGATTTTAGCTTTAGTATTTAAGTTGGTGTTCCATTTCGAGATAACTTTTGAGGATCAGACAAATGTCTAATCCATTCCCTTCAGCCATGATTATTGGGGAGACATTTCGTTTCTCCATTGAGCTTCCTGCCTGGCTCAGTATCCATCGTCCCTGAGTCAAGACTTCTGTCTGGTCTCTCAGTTCTGCCCCCTGGCCTGTGCAACCACTTTTATCAGGTAAATTTCATCTATGCTAAATCATGCCATCTTAATCTCAGCCTTCAGTATGCCTCGAAAAGGGGGCGCCCTATGGCCGTGCTCTTTCTGTTTGACTCTTTGGGGCCTTTTACATTTCCTCATAAATTTAGAATTAGCTTGTCAATTTCTCTAACAACAAAAACCTTCTGGAGTTTTGATGAGATCCCAGTGAGTCTCTGGGGGAGGCTAGCCATCTCTTAGCATGAAGCCTGTAGTTCATAGATGTAAAACTGTTTAAGTAACACTCTGATCCCTCTCACCTCACCAACGTACATTTCCCATGTACATACCTTGCAGTGTTTTTTTTTTTTTTTTAAATCTATCAATAGGCCAGGCAGTGGTGGCGCACGCCTTTAATCCCAGCACTTGGGAGGCAGAGGCAGGCGGATTTCTGAGTTCGAGGCCAGCCTGGTCTACAGAGTGAGTTCCAGGACAGCCAGGGCTACACAGAGAAACCCTGTCTCGAAAAACAAAACAAAACAATCTATTAATAAATTACTATTTCCCATGATGCATTTGATTAGATTGTTTTATTAATATGATTAATGATTACTGCTGATTTTGTTATATCTTTTGGAGGTGTTTGGGGGCAATTAATATAGTCTCATGTAGCCTAGGCCGTCCCCAAATTTGATGTGTAAGTGTGACCTTGAGCTCCTGAAACCCTCCTTTCTCCATCTCCTGGTCCCGCAGTACAGTTGTGCACCGACCACATCCATGTCTGAGATGCTAGGTGAAGAATTTTACGTTTTTAGCTCTTATGTTTAGTCTGTGACCTATTTGAAGTTATTCTCTGTGGAATAAAGATCCAATCCTTTGAATGTGGCTTCTTGTCGTCCCAGTGCCCATTCGTTAAAGACTTTTCTTCATCTAATGAGTTATCTTGGGATTTAATTTGCTGCAATTTTTAAAATAATTTTCCCTCCATGTCTATGAAGGATATTGGTCTGGGATTTTTATTTTCTCTGCCCACTTTGATTCTTAGAAGAATTTGTGTTGGACTGATGTCTTTTATTTTAAACTCAGAGCTTCACACATGTTAGGTAATTATTCTACCAACTGAGTGGTGTCCCAGCCCTTTGGTTTGGGCGTTTTGGTTTTTGTTGGGAGGGGGCTTGTTTGGTTTGGTTTGTTTTTTTGAGACAGGTTTTCTCTGTGTAGCCCTGGCTGCCCTGGAACTCGCTTTGTAGACCAGGCTGGCCACAAACTCACAGAGAGCCATCTGTCTCTGTCTCCCAAGTGCTGGACTTCTATTTACATAGCTTCGTGTTATCTGTAAATAAGTTGAATTTTACATCTCCCCTTTCAATCCCAATGCGCTGTCTTCCTCTCATTTGCTTTATTTTACATTTTCCACGAGCAATGCGGTAAGTTCTAGTTGCTCTGCATGGTCTCCAATGCTTATTTTCTTATACAACTGCCTGCAGTGGCCCCTCAGTGGGGTCCAGCTTGCATTTCCCTAAAAGCTAATGGTATTGCACACCTGCATCCTGGGCCTGTTCACCAGGTGCATTTCTACCGTAGAGAACTGTCTCTTCAGACTCCCAACTTATTTTTAAAATGGGACAGTCTTGGCCAGGCACAGTGGCTCATGCCTTTAATCCCAGCCCTTAGGAGGCAGAGACAGATGGACCTCTGAGTTCAAGGTCAGCCTGGTCTAAGAAGTAAGTTCCAGGACAGCCAGAGGGGTATATTGAGATCCAGTCTCAAAAAGGCGGGGATGGGGGTTGCAGTCTTAAATATGAGCCAATAAGAGTATTCTGTATAGTCTAGAGTCGGGTGCCAAGTCAGGCTTGCAAGTTTCCCAGCTTGTGGCCTGTCTTGCAGCTTCTCAGAACTCAAAGGTCCATGCTGACAAAACCTACCTCATCAAAGCACCAGAGAATCAAAGGAAAGGTTCTAGTACTGTGCTGGCCATATCTGAGAACTTTGCCTAACCAGAGTGTCTTAGTCAATGTCCTAATGCTATAAAGTGATCCCATGACCACAGCAACTCTTATAAAGGAAAACATTTAATTGGGAAGAACTTACAGTTGAGAGGATCAGTCCATTATCATCATGTCGGGGATGCCAACATGGCCGGGAGCATCTGAGTCACACGAGAGTAGCTAAGAGCTCTATATCCCAATCTACAGGCAACAGGCAGAGAGAGAGAGTGAGAGAGAGAGAGAGAGAGAGAGAGAGAGAGAGAGAGAGAGAAAGAGAAAGAGAGACAGACAGAGAGAGAGAGGAGAGAGAGAGAGACAGAGACAGAGAGAGAGAGAGACAGAGAGAGAGAGACAGAGAGAGAGAGACAGAGAGAGAGAGACAGAGACAGACGAGACAGAGAGAGCCATTGGACCTGGCTTAGGCATTTGAAACCCCAAAGCCCACCCCCAGTGACACTCTTCCTCCAGCAAGGCCACACAAACCTAATACCAATCTCTAAGCATTCAAGTATGAGTCTGTGGGGGCCATTCTTACTCAAACCACCACCTAGGGTCATAAAGATTCATAGCCCTACAACTCAGGCTGGACTCAGACTGTCCTCCTCGCAAGTATTGGGTTCTCATTGTACTTGAACTTCCCCTTTCTAACTGATTTACATTAAGCACAATTATTAATACGGTAGATGAAGACTTTTTTTGGTCCCAGCAGTGTCCTTTCATCAGGCTGTGCAGCAAGCCCCTTTACCTGCTAAGCCATCTTGCTGGCCCCTTGCCTCATTACTTACAACTCCACCTACTTTCTTCTGGCCTCCCTTCCCTCCTACAGCCGGTGAGGTCTCCACCTAGTTTCACCCCTCCCGGCCACCGCCTGTGATGGAAACTGGTTGTTGATGTCTAGAGGCACCTTGAACCTTGATTTGCTTTCCCTTTGAGGGATGCTTTGAGGTGGCCTCTGTAGGCTTCTGGTTCTTCCTCAGTGATGAAGGGTTGCTGCTGCGCCATCACCTGAGCTTCTTGTATCCGTGGACTTGGAGTTTCAGCACATTAGGAAAAATGTCAGCCGTTGTTTCTCCCAGTAGTCTGTTTCATTTCACATGTGTGAGAGTGCTAGAAACGTCTCACTGCTGGCAGAAGCCCCTTCTCCTCTCTGTTCTTTTCTTCCTTCCTCCCTCCTTCCCTCCTTTCCTCCCTCCCTCCCTTCCTCCCTTCCTCCCTTGTTCTGTTTGTTTGGATGACTTCTCCAGCTCTATTTTCAGGCTCACAAATCTTTTGCATCAGTTAATTTGCTGTGGATCCCACCCACTGCACTTTTTGTTGTTGTTGTTGTTGTTGTTGTTGTTGTTGTTGTTGGCTTTTTCGAGACAGGGTTTCTCTGTGTAGCCCTGGCTGTCCTGGAACTCACTCTGTAGACCAGGCTAGCCTCGAACTCTTGAACTCAGAAATCCGCCTGCCTCTGCCTCCCAAGTGCTGGGATTAAAGGCGTGCACCACCACTGCCCGGCCCCCACTGCACTTTTTAACTTCACTCATAATTTGCAGACTTGCTCTTTGCATCCATGGCTGGCCCTGACTCCGCAGCAGCCCCTCCTGCCTCAGCCTCGTGGGTGCCGGGGTTGCAGAAGTGAGCCATCATGCCCAGCAGCCCAGCAGTTTCCCACCTCTGGTTCCTTTCTTACCTCCTGTGCTTCTGCTTTCTCTGCCGAGCAAGCGTAAGAACACAGCTACCGTGCTCGATCCTCCACTCTCTGTTTTAAGACAGGGTCTCAAACTCACTCTGTGGGTGAGGGCATCTCTGAGCTCCTGCTCATTGCCACCCACCACTCTAGGTGATGGGATTGCAGCCTGGATTCCAATAAATTTCCTTCTGTCCCTGATTGTTAATTCCAGCACCCTGGGTCAGTTGCAACTAATTTATTTTTCTCCTCATTATACTCCATACTTTCCTGCATTCTTTGCATGCCTGGTAATCTTTGATTTAACGCCAGACATTGTAAATTTTACTTTGTTGGACGCCAGATATTTCTGTATTCCTATAAATATTCCTGAGCTTTTTGTCCTGAAGCAGAGCGAAGGCGTGTGGAGAAGGTGTGATCCTTTTGGCCTTGTTTTCATGACTAGTCCAGCAGGTCTGAAGGAGAGAGCATCCAGTACCAGCTTTTCCCCAGGACAGAAGCAACGCCCTCAAAGTACCTAACCAGTTCCCTGGGGCTCCTGAGTCTCTCCATCTAGGCTAGTAGAGGCAAGCATCCCCAGCCCTGTGAGTCCCATGCCTGAGTGTCCTTTAGTTCTTAGCCCTGTGGAGTCTTCTTTCATATGTGCCCTAAGCTGTGCACTGATACCCCTGGACCCTGCGTAACTCCTTCTCCGTATTTGCAGATCTTTTTCTTCAGCTGAGAGAGTTTATTGGGAAGCATTAGAGATCTGAGCTGACCCTCTCCACTGATACCTCAAGTCAGAGCCCACTGGGGTCTGCCACTTTGTCTAAGCTTTTCCTCCTGGCCACTCCCTAAGTCCCCTGTGAAGCTGGAGATTCACCTCAGAGCTGCGTCAGGTCTGGGAGCTCAGGACAGTTGCTCCCCTTCATCACACTCCTGCCCATCACTGCCACAGCCATTCTGCTCCACCCACAACAATCAAGATGTCCCCTTATGTTAGCCAACACATCTCTCTGCTGGGTCCTCCAGGTGTGGCCATGTGCCCGGTCCACCACCTCTCCATCACCCCAGAAGGGCACAGTGATCTGTGGCTCAGAAAAGACAGCTCTCTCTGCTCCTCAGGCCCTGTGCTCTGGAGAGCCAGGCCTGTGCGCATGTGCACCCAGTCAGAAATTGCTTTTAGGGATCGGTTGTACATCTGGCCCTGTATTAGTGACTGGAGAGGAGGAAGATTGAAGCTTTTAGGCTATAGTCTATGGTCAAGCTGGTAGATGAGCAGAAAGAGCAACTGACCAACTAAGGGCAAGTTGTAGCACAGTGACCCATGAGCTGGTTAGGAAGGGACCCACCCAGAGCATGAAGACAATTGGCCAGTGCAAATGGCCTTCAGGGATCCAAGGCCCAGAGCTGAAGAATCAGTGTCCAGGATTCAGGGTGAAGGAACAAAGATGCAAAGGGAAGGTTAAAGCTGCAGGAGGAGACTTCTGCCGGGCACGCATCCACGGAAGGCACAGACAGTTATCCGTGGGTAGCACAGATACCCTTTTCCTTAAACCAGTGTGGAGCCCGATCCACCCGCCCCTGGCCCGGCTCTTCCATCCCTCACACAGTGTAAGGACATGTCTCTTGATTTCTTCCTTTGGAAGGTGAGAGTGGTCGGGTCCTGAAGATCTCAGCAGGAGTCAGATATGTGCAACTCCCAGAGTACTCTGAGGTCAGCTTTTTCAAGATGGATGAAGATCACATGGAGGCACCCATCCAGACTCCGTTGTAAGGATGATACACCCTCCCTGGGGCACTGAGGAGACTGGGCTGGAGAGAGGTCCCTAGTCCTTCTTGCCCATATATCCTATGTACTATAACTAGGGCAGGCCTGAGACACAGTGCCAACCAGCCAGACTTTGAAAGGTAGAAACAGAAGTAGGTGGACTGACAGGAAGTGGAGGGCTTGAGGGAGCCGTATGCCTCGTAATCAGCAGGCACGGGACATAGAAGGGAAGCCACTCACTGGTTCTTCTTTGGCCTTGGTTGGACCCAGCTCAGCAAGCATTTCAGAATGAGCCACACAACCATCCAAGGATGACTAAATACCATTCTTCAATTAGCCTAAGTCCTAGGGTCAGGGCCAGGGCATATACAGAGTGTGGGTTGTCTCGTCCCTGTCCTCCTGCCTGCCCCAGCACTGCTCCCTTGAGCCACACTGTGGTATTTGATGTCTCCTTCCTAGTGGGTTCCAGTGCGTTTCCTACCCCCTGTCTGTGCCCACGTGCTGGGGGCTGGAGTCCGGGTCTGCTGTGGAAAGTGCCAGAGCTGACCTGCTACTCTCCAAGAGAGACTCGGAGCCTATGCTGGACTCAGGAGCCTTCCATGGCCAGGGAGACACCCTCAGCATCCTGCCAGGTGAGTGGATCATAGCAGCAGTCGACGGTATCCAAGGTAACAGAGCCCTCAAAACCCGAGTGTGTTGGTGACAAGGCACCTGGGTGGAACATGAAGTTCAGGGGCTATGCCCAGGCCTGAGCTGCCATCAGCAGAGAGCAAGTATAGCTGCCTTTACAGGACCAGGGCGAGATGGGGCTTCCCATCCTGGGTGATCCTGTGGCCTACGTCCTTACCACACAAACCCTGCAGCTGTGGAGGACAACGTGTGGTCCTAGGCAGGTCAAACCCGTGGCACCCAAAGCTCAGCAGTATAGATGGTTGTGGGTCCATGGCCCTGTCTGGTCACAGGCTGCCAGGCTTTCCAGTCCTTGTCACTGCATGTGTGTTGGTTCACGTTTCACTGAGATGTGTGTCCTGCTTCCAGGCCGGGCAGGACCTGCACCCTGGCCAGGTCTACCAGCCCAAAGCCAGATTTCCTTTGAGTTGTTTGAGAATTATTCATGCGATTGAAGTTTAATCATGGCAGTCTGTTGTGCCTGATGGCATTAAGTTCTCTTATACTCTGATACGTCACAAATACTGTTTGTATCTTTTTCTCCTTGGTTTTGGTTGTTTTGAGAAGGGCTCTCTCTGTATAGCCCTGGTTGTCCTGGGACTCACCATGTAGACCAGGCTGGCTAAAACCTCACAGAGATCCACCACCTCTGCCTCCTAAATGATGGGATTAAAGGCCTCTTCTGAGCTTTTAACAGGAGTGAGAAGGTTCTGTAAGAGGGTGTTCCAGGCAAGATCACATACCTTGTGTTTAGGACTCTTCACGGACTCTCTTACTCTGCACTGACAGCCAGGATCCCTATCCCCCCCGGCACTGGGAGCTGAGCTCTCTGGCTCTCAGGCACAGAGTGCAGGCTATAGGTCAGTATTTTTCAACCTTCCTGACACTGGCTGTGACCCTTTACTACAGTTCCTCATGTAGTGGTGACCCCCAACCATAAAGTTATCTTTATTGCATCTTCATAGCTGTAATATTGTCACTTATAAATCATAATGTAATATCTGGATATGTAGTAATCTGTAATATTAGATATGCAGGATATTGAATATGTGACCCCTATGAAAGGGTCATTTAACCCTCAGAGGGGTCACAAGCCACAGGTTAAGAGCTGCTTCCCTAGGCGATTAGAAAGACAAAACTGGTTATTAGAAAACTGTAGCATGTCTCAGACCTGAAACCAAGAGTAGACATGGCATGGAGCGTCGTAATTCCCCACCACTTATATAAGCCTGGAGTAGTTAGTGGTGATTGGTTGGTTTGTTAGTTAATTTTTGAGACAGGGTCTTGCTATATAGGCCACACAGACATCTTCCTCCTGCCTCACCTTTGCCAGTGCTAGAATTATGGGTATATGCCACCCATAATTCCTGGCAAAAGGTAGGGTTTGACAGAACATTTCTGGTCATCACAAGCATGCCTCAGACAGGTCTTTCCCACCTGCCTGTTGCTTCACTGTGGCTGCCAGTGGGAGCCAGAGTCCTACCTTGACCCCCTTTTGTCCTTGCAAACTACACACAGCCCAAAGTTGAGTCCCTCTCTTTGGGGCTAGTACATGGATGCAATCGCCAGGTGGCTGTCCAGTCATGTGAACATACTCCTGACACAGCTCCCTTACAGAGCGCTCCTGCCTCCAGGTCTGTTCTTGCCTTTTGCCTGCCTCAGCCTTTCAGCCCAGGAACCTTCATGCTGGCGTTGGGCAGGGATGACCCCTCCCTCCCTCCCTTGCTCCTCTCTTCTGATGGCTTAACCTCTTCACAGGCCAGAGCTTCCTGTCCCCTGACTGCCTCATCCGCTATCCTGGCTGTGTTACATTACAGCCTGTGGCCCCCAGCAAGTCTCACTCATCCTCTTGCCAGGTCTCTCCTGACCCCAGCTCTGGCTTGTCACAGGCTGTCCTACTTGTTGTGGTGCCTAAGCTCTCCTGAGCCTCCTCAGGTTCATCCCTAGGCTCCTGGGCCCCATGGCCCTCCACAGCCCTCCAGACAATTGCTGATGGCTTGTGTTCTCTACAGTTTTGTTTCTCACAGGGTAGAAGAGGGACAAAAAGGAGAGTGGTAAGGCTGAAGGCTGAAGTCTTGGCAGCACAGAAATCCTGTCAGTGGTCAGAGGTCTTTGCCAGGGTAGCAACATCTCTGACAACAAGAGGATTGTCCAGACAGCCATCTTGAGAGGCAGCAAGAGCTGCAGATCCTCCCTCAGAAACACACAGGCTGGGGTAGGAGCTCGTATTCTTTCCTTATGAGCAAGCTTCAGGCTCCAGAGGCCAAGCAGACCCATGAACGGAAGCCATGCTGATTTGGCCTGCAGGCCGGCAGATCCAGTGAACCCCAGGAGGCAGCTTGGTCCATCTCCTCTTTGTCTGTCTCCACCTCAGTCACAGGAGCAATTTCATGCTGCATTGGCAGAATAGTTCTCATATTTCTGCATAAAAATACTCACTGGGCGCCACGCCTTCTGCTCTGAGGGATTTTCAGAGCCAAGCGCTGCTGTCTCAATGAAAACCAGGCCCCAGGATTCAGAGCTCATTCTATGCTGCTGAAAGTGCCTGCCCTGTCTCCTGCAGACAGCTCCCCAGTGTGGCTGAGTCTGTGTGCTTTTATCATAGGACAATCTAAGAAGAGGCCACCCAGGGGCACAGGGCCCCAGGGGTCCCCAGCATACTCAGGGTTAGCACAGGAACCAAGGTCACTAAGGGGCTCAGGGCCCCCAAAGGCCCCAGCACACTCGGTTCTGTTACCTGGCCAGTGGTGAAAACGAAGAGCATACCCTTCTCGTTCGATCCTTCAGGCTTACCCTTCTTTTCTGTGATCCATTTAGATCTATTGTGCCACTAATTTTCAGACTATGATCCAGTTAAGCTAGTTTTCCTGCTATCAAAGTACTATCCAAGGCTGCCTTTCCTTTCCAGGTACTCTCTCCTGTTAATCTGACTTATACTCAGTGACAAAGACACACAACTGCTCCGCCCCAGTGATCCCAGCGATACTTCAGGGTCCCCACCTAGCACCTCCAGTTTCCTACTCTGGCCTGGAGCTCTTTGGAGAATGGAGGAGCCCTCTGACCATTGCGTCTCTTCCCTAGGCATTCTGCAGAGCCTTTAAGTCAGTCACTCCAGAAGTGTGACTGTCCTGGGCAAGAGCAAGAGCAAGAACCCCACCCCACCCCACCCCTCCCCGTGTGATAAGTGCCCTGTAGCTGGGAAGCCTGAATGTCACAGCTTAGAACAGAGCCTGTGCTGCCCGGGACCTGGTGCAGGCTTCTCCCACATCTGGGGCTGCTCCTAGAGCCCCTCTCTGGGTTGGCAGGAAGGAGGCATCTGGAGAGGCATGCCTCAACCTGTGACAAGGAGCTAGAAGGCAAGCCCTACAACAGAAGTGTCGAGCTGTGCTTAGAGACTCCAGCCAAACCAGTCTTATTGTGTAAGGGGAAAGTGGGCCGGGAACTGTGTCCTTAGAGTGGACTTCAGTATTTAAAAACTAACAAACAAACAGAAACTGATTATCTTGCTCTTGTCCCTGGCACGGTCCCTTTGCTCTCTCACTGGGTCTCTGGTGCCAACATTCTCCCTTCTAGGCAGATCCTTGCCAAGGGCCTATGAGGTCACCTCAGGCCCTGTGGTTCTGAATGCTATGTGAAGAACCAAGGGACAGTTTTGCAGCAGTAGCTTAGAGCTGCTTCCTATGCTGGACTGGAAGGAGCCAGGTACCGCAGGCCCTGTGGGGAGGATGTCCTGACTGTGTTTGGTCGACTCAGAAAGTGTCCACTTACCTCACCAGCCCAGCTAGACAAGTCGCTAAGGAGCAAGGCGGAGACGAGAGCCCACGGAGCTTAGTCAGTAGACATTAACTCAGCAGAAGGCCTGAGTGGAGAGGACAAGGAGCTGCGTGGCTCTCATTCTTGCTGAGACACCTTAGGGTGATGCTTCTCTGCAGGGCACATAAGACACCACGAGAACCCACGTGCACAGCCAGAGAGAAGGATGGTTCTCATCCCTCCCCTCCCTTCCCCTCCGTGCTCTAGCTGATGGACGGATATAGGGGACTGACCTGTGTTCCCAACAAATACGGCTTCACTGTGAGCCAGATGAGTAGTGCTCAGGGTGACTCCACTGGTGTTTGCTTCTTCCCCAGACAGCAGACAGGGGCGGGCCAGGTTGATCACCAGCCATGGAGCCCCACTTCTGTCTTTTATTCTGCTCTGTGTCGTTTTTGTTTACCATGGCATGATCCTAGACACTTCTGACATCATGCTAAATCTTATTAAGCAGGAAGGAGAACATATGGGGCACAGCTCAATCATACAGCCGCATATCTGTCCCATGGAGATAAGCATAGCGTGCCGGCAAAGATTAGGCTCCATTGTTAGAGAAGAAGGAGAAACTGGACACTGGGCATCTTTGCCAAGTAGAAATTCCATCAAGGTACGCCATCCATGCTGTGTACATAGATGGGTATCAGAGAGGCTCCCTGGCACCACCTTAGGCACAGACCATGCATCCACTCTGCGTCTGTGACAAAGGCTGTCCCATTGCCCTGCAGCCCAGCCTCTAACATCCCAGACCACAGGGCTGTGACAATGGGCTTGTGGCTGTAATAGCACTGGTAGTGAGAAGGCCAGACAGTTGCTTCTGCCAAAGCAGCAGAGTGTGGAAAGGACCACAATGGCCTCAGCTGACTTCACATTGCAGGTGTTTTCCAGGTTGACCAGCAGCCTCTGCTCAGGGTCATTCGTGTGAGAGCGAGGAGGACAAGCCACCTAGCCCACTCCCACCATGTACTCCCTAGAGGACAGCATGTTCACCCAGTCTGCTGTTTCACACCTTTGGATGCCGAGGGGTTTCTGTTTGGAGCAAACCAGCCTGGAGGTCAGGCTGCCCTGGGGAGGAGGAGGGAAGGAGACTGAGTGAAATACAGAGCACACATGAGTCAGACCTGAATTAAAGAAGAGCGGGAGGCGGACACCC